CACCTCACAAGTCTCCTGTGAGGCACTGGTGGCCCTGGGAGCACCTCACAAGTCTCCTGTGAGGCACTGGTGGCCCTGGGAGCACCTCACAAGTCTCCTGTGAGGCACTGGTGGCCCTGGGAGCACCTCACAAGTCTCCTGTGAGGCACTGGTGGCCCTGGGAGCACCTCACACACCGTCACCTCACTCACAAGTCTCCTGTGAGGCACTGGTGGCCCTGGGAGCACCTCACAAGTCTCCTGTGAGGCACTGGTGGCCCTGGGAGCACCTCACAAGTCTCCTGTGAGGCACTGGTGGCCCTGGGAGCACCTCACAAGTCTCCTGTGAGGCACTGGTGGCCCTGGGAGCACCTCACAAGTCTCCTGTGAGGCACTGGTGGCCCTGGGAGCACCTCACAAGTCTCCTGTGAGGCACTGGTGGCCCTGGGAGCACCTCACAAGTCTCCTGTGAGGCACTGGTGGCCCTGGGAGCACCTCACAAGTCTCCTGTGAGGCACTGGTGGCCCTGGGAGCACCTCACAAGTCTCCTGTGAGGCACTGGTGGCCCTGGGAGCACCTCACACACCGTCACCTCACTCCACAAGTCTCCTGTGAGGCACTGGTGGCCCTGGGAGCACCTCACAAGTCTCCTGTGAGGCACTGGTGGCCCTGGGAGCACCTCACAAGTCTCCTGTGAGGCACTGGTGGCCCTGGGAGCACCTCACACACCGTCACCTCACTCCACAAGTCTCCTGTGAGGCACTGGTGGCCCTGGAGCACCTCACACACCGTCACCTCACTCCACAAGTCTCCTGTGAGGCACTGGTGGCCCTGGGAGCACCTCACACACCGTCACCTCACTCCACAAGTCTCCTGTGAGGCACTGGTGGCCCTGGGAGCACCTCACACACCATCACCTCACTCCACAAGTCTCCTGTGAGGCACTGGTGGCCCTGGGAGCACCTCACACACCATCACCTCACTCCACAAGTCTCCTGGGAGCACCTCACACACCGTCACCTCACTCCACAAGTCTCCTGTGAGGCACTGGTGGCCCTGGAGCACCTCACACACCGTCACCTCACTCCACAAGTCTCCTGTGAGGCACTGGTGGCCCTGGAGCACCTCACACACCGTCACCTCACTCCACAAGTCTCCTGTGAGGCACTGGTGGCCCTGGGAGCACCTCACACACCGTCACCTCACTCCACAAGTCTCCTGTGAGGCACTGGTGGCCCTGGAGCACCTCACACACCGTCACCTCACTCCACAAGTCTCCTGGGAGCACCTCACACACCGTCACCTCACTCCACAAGTCTCCTGTGAGGCACTGGTGGCCCTGGAGCACCTCACACACCGTCACCTCACTCCACAAGTCTCCTGTGAGGCACTGGTGGCCCTGGGAGCACCTCACACACCGTCACCTCACTCCACAAGTCTCCTGTGAGGCACTGGTGGCCCTGGAGCACCTCACACACCGTCACCTCACTCCACAAGTCTCCTGGGAGCACCTCACACACCGTCACCTCACTCCACAAGTCTCCTGTGAGGCACTGGTGGCCCTGGAGCACCTCACACACCGTCACCTCACTCCACAAGTCTCCTGTGAGGCACTGGTGGCCCTGGGAGCACCTCACACACCGTCACCTCGCTCCACAAGTCTCCTGTGAGGCACTGGTGGCCCTGGAGCACCTCACACACCGTCACCTCACTCCACAAGTCTCCTGGGAGCACCTCACACACCGTCACCTCACTCCACAAGTCTCCTGTGAGGCACTGGTGGCCCTGGAGCACCTCACACACCGTCACCTCACTCCACAAGTCTCCTGTGAGGCACTGGTGGCCCTGGAGCACCTCACACACCGTCACCTCACTCCACAAGTCTCCTGTGAGGCACTGGTGGCCCTGGAGCACCTCACACACCGTCACCTCACTCTACAAGTCTCCTGTGAGGCACTGGTGGCCCTGGAGCACCTCACACACCGTCACCTCACTCTACAAGTCTCCTGTGAGGCACTGGTGGCCCTGGAGCACCTCACACACCGTCACCTCACTCTACAAGTCTCCTGTGAGGCACTGGTGGCCCTGGGAGCACCTCACACACCGTCACCTCACTCCGTACTATATCTCTAGTGACCTCGATGAGGACAGGAAGGCGGCTGGTCGAAGGTCCTCCCCATTTGTCCTGCTTTTTTTCGAGCTAGATTTAAAAATTCAGGAGTGTTTTGGCATTTTTCACAACCACCAAATTAACAACAATAACTTGCAGCCGATTGATGAAGAAAAGGACCTTGAAATCAGAATCCATCAGTTTTAGTTTAGTTAATTTATTATACAAACCTATAACCACCATACTGTACTGATGTGTACAGTATACAGTACAGTATAAATAATGTGTACTGTACTATACACACACAAATACTGTACTGAACAATTTGGAGGATGTTGATCGAGACAAGCCGGTTGGCCGAGCAGACAGCACGCTAGACTTGTGATCCTGTGGTCTTGGGTTCGATCCCAGGCGCCGGCGAGAAACAATGGGCAAAGTTTCTTTCACCCTATGCCCCTGTTACTTAGCAGTAAACTAGGTACCTGGATTAAAATAGGTACCCCAGGAAGCTGTCACGGACTGCTTCCTGGGGGTGGAGGCCTGGTCGAGGACCGGGCCGCGGGGACACTAAAGCCCCGAAATCATCTCAAGATAACAAGTTGTTCAGAAGGTCAGATGTAACACAAACAAGGAGCAACGGTTTCAAGCTCAAGCCGCAATGAAGGACAGAACAGGAGATGCTTTTTCACCCACAAGGTTACTAATCCATGGAACCGCCTACCCGCCGAAGCCGTAAATGCCAAAACACTGCTGCAATTCAAGATCAAACTTGATAAAATCAGGACAAATGGGAGGACCTTTGACAAGCTGCCGGTTTCCTGACTTCGTTGAGACCACTAGAGAATTACTCGGGTAAATTCATGTAAGTACAAGGTACAAAGATAATAGTAACTATAAAGGAAGACTGTAAATAAACAAAGTAATACTTTACAAGTAAAAAGGGGAAGAAATAGAATGGGTAACAAACAACTGGAAGTAACTAGGTAGTCCACATAAGTTATCATTACTGTAATGTCAGTGGTGACAAAGGTAACTGTTAAGTGCTTGAATATCCATAACTGCAACAAAGGTACAAAATGAAGTACAGTACAAGAGTGCTTGAAACTAACAAAAAGCCACAAAGAAAGTAACAGATCGTCTAGGGGAAGAAAGCAAGAGGGCAAAGAAAGAAAAAGAAGAGAATCTCATTGAATATTTCCAGCAACTTGAGGATAGGTTGACCAAGATGGTTTAGAATGTTGTAAGTCACCCTGGAAGATCTAAGACTCTTGCATTTGCAGAATTTTCATGCAAGTTCATTGAAAGTTAAATCGTTTGTGCCTACAAAAGGATCTGTGACATAGTCTATAGGCAATTGCTCAGCCACATCCTTATGGAGCTGAAAAAGTAGGATGGTAATTGGCCGAGCTGCTAGTGTTCGCAAAATTCCTGTAGTGTGTGTTGGCAGTGTCCAGTAGGCCACCGATGCAAGTATAGTTAAATATGAGAAGGTGATTTGGGTTGTGGGAGTGCTTTCTATTGATTCTGTGAATAATGGTCTAGACCTGGTCGAGACTGATGCCTTTATTTACTATGGAAGCATAGCTCCACTAATCTTGCAGCCCGTCCTCTAAACAGACTCAAAGTCCATTCATTCACCTGCCAAACCCCGTTTATGAATGAAAAACGGTTTACACACGACTCACAACTGATGATGTTCGAACACTTCCGGAATAAGTGCTTCATTGACGAATTTTGTTCGAACCACAACACTAAATGCTTCACCCACATACTATAAATACAAATAATCACCAACAGAACCTAAACCCCTAACCTAACCAGTGGCTAATTATGTACAATATGGAAATATAAAATAATATAAATTTATATTTGAGAAAATTTCTGTTTTGAATGAACAGCATGTTAACATTTATGAATGTGTCTTTGGGGTCGATTGCTGGATGGTCGACTTGATCTGAGAAAGGGTTGAATCTTGCATAGCTTCTTTAAGTATCCTTTTTAGAGCTCAACCATATTTTTTAGCAGGGAAATATTTTTGTGTAGTCTCCATCAAAAACCCTATAAAGTCTATTGGAGTTCCCAAGTGCTTCAAGGCACTCTGGCATCCACCAGGAAACTCAACACTATTAGAACTAGTGACATCTTAAGAATAGCCAAATCTGCAGCGAATGTTAATGTTGTGCATCTTTTTGTCTATGTCATCTCCAGATATATCTGTATTGGTGGTCTGCAGGAAGACCCCCAGTCCAGAACCGTGTTGTCACAGATACAATAAAAACATTTGGAAAGTGGTTGCTTTCAAGGGAGTTGTCATATGTGAGGTTTGGTGCTATATTAGGGGAGGACAGATAAATCTATAGCTAAAATGCTGCTGACTGATCATCTACACGAGTACCACTACCTGCATTCACAAGAGTATAATTATTGTATAGAATTAAGTCCACTGTTTGGTGCCCTGGATGCATGGATGCTTCCCCACTGAGGATAGATGCTAGAGTTACTATGTGTTGGGCACATTGATCACAAACAACGCAGTATTCCTCTCTTCTTGACAAGTGATGGTTTATCAGAGCATCACACACTATAACCATGTTGCAACAAGAGCCTTCTGTAGACAAATAATGTTTGTGCAACCCTATGAGCATCACCAGTGGCTCGGTTTGTTGAGAATGCTGTTCAAGATTGTGCATGTTGGCAATGTTATAGGGGCAAGGATTTTTATATTAAAATTAAAAACTTAATTCGATTACCCTTCTCTTATTTAAGATTTAATAATATTTAAAATTGTATCTTTTATTTTGTTTTCTTTTTTCATAAGATATTTGCTCATTTCTGTTAAATTGGTTATTTTATTTTTACATTTATTCTTTCTTTCTTCAACAGTACTTTTCTCTTCCTTAACCAAGCCTCTCCATCATACATTGCTCTATACTATTCATTAACCTTCAATTCATTTCCTTATCCTCTCGGTTTCAGTTTTTAATCAAATTGGCTCTGCCGTGTAATTACCTTTATCAGTTTCAAATAAAAGCACTACCGGTATAAATCATTTTCACATTCATCAAGAGCTTTTTGAAACTCAATAATAGGCATAGAATTAATACCCTTGAGTGCTTTCCATATCCTAGTGTTCTATACAGTACAGGTATCTACATATTTATCTGAAATATGAAACGTATGAAGTAACCCATTAACTAATGATTGGGGTGGGGAAGACCTTATCCTTTTCTCGTTATTGTCTTCAGTTAGAAAACTGAATATAATGTTGTACAAAAAGATGAACTGATTATACAGAATAATACTGGGAATACACATAGAAAACTCAAAGACTTGTAACAATATCTTTATTACAGTAAATGAAGCCTGCAATCCTTACAATTAACCATACAAAAGTGCAGCAGTCTGTATCCAGCTCCATACAGCAGTTTTTTGAAGGACAGTTATTCAGCAACTTAAGATAATAACTCTGGCATTTATATTAGTTTTGTGATGCTGTTAATGACAGTATAAGTACAGCATTGCTTGCAACTGAAGTATATGCACTACAAACAAAATACCTGAAGTGTTGCTGAAATACTTGGTACCGAGGCCTATTCTCACACGAGGTCGCTCGAAAGTGCCATTAAGAATACCTCCTGTCATAAGACTATACAAAAATAACGTTAAATACAGCTTCTGCTACATATAGAAAAACATCCATATCTGAAATTGGGTACTCATGCTATCTTAGAGTAAACTCTTAAGTTTTTTAATGTTTTTGTTTTACTTCTAGTGAAGCCATAGTACAATAGTAGAACCGAGATTAAAGAAACAAATGAGCAAATATCAGCGTATATTCGGAAGATATGTTATTTTGAAGAAGAGCTTACATTTCTTCTAATTTTCTTCCAGATATCTTGAGCTGTAGAAATATCATAGATAACTCTGGCACTTAAAGACTGCATGAAAGAAATCTTAACTTTTTCAATTATGGTAACATACCTCCTATCATAGTCCACAGAAAAGGTGATTATAAATATGACAATGAGTTATGTACAATGAATCCTACTTCTTTAAATCCATCCCCGTTCATCTGCTCTCACAGTGTGTCCAAACTATATGAATCCTCGAGGCCATACAATTTTCTCCTTGCTATCACAGCTGATTAACTCAAACCTGCATTATCAAATCTGAATTCATATTGATTACAGCAAGGGAACACTCAAAATGGCAGTAGCAAGAACATTACACATCAGAGTAAACAGCACATAGCTGAAGGCAATGATAATCAAGGAAAGAGATAAATATCTTTCATGTAAACATCTGAAACTTGCTTTTAATTACTCTACATGAAAAATTATATTTCTCAGTTTGGATGGAATTATTACTTGTGAAAAGAAATAAAGTACATAGCGTTCACACAATATTATTGTCAAACAATTTAACAAGAATTTTTCATAGATGAAGACAACTTTGCAAATCACATGATACACATCAATCTAAACTACCTCATACAGTTAATCTGATCCTGCATCGAGTCCCCAATCTTTTCACATATGCAAAATTTGTAATTATGGCATTATAAAGTATTTCCCTCCCCCCCTCGAGCCATGCCTCATAGAATAAGCTCTAAACAAACTTGCATTTTGATAAAAGTTGTGAACATAACGAGTAACGAAGTCTGTTGCCTGCATAGCTGCCAGTGGCAACACTGCAGTTTACACTTTGCTTGTTATTCAGGCACAAGATCTTTAAGGCTGAGTTGCCAATGATATCTCAAGTTCAAATCAACCTTAAAGCTAGTGTTGATCACCATATTTGCCACCAACAAAATTACAAACACTATTACTTTTCTATGTGAAGGCTGATTTGTTTAAGTATTTTTTCTTGTATAGCACAATATCAATTAACCCCCTTTTAGAATAATAAAAACTGGCTTAGGCTTATTTGAAATGTGATAAATATTGATAATTCCAATTCAATTTACAAATACCATATGCCAAAAACATAAGATCTAATTTATATTCTCTGCAATTTCTGGCCCCATACTCCCACTAAGAAAGAAAAACAAAAATAATATTTGTTTTCACTAATAAACTCACAGCACTTGTCATCTTCAATAAATTATTAATATAATCTAGAAAAAATGAGAGAAATTGTGTGATCTTTCAAAAACACAAGTGAACTCATCATATGCCCCACACTCACTCTGATAACAGCGGCAATTCTAGTTACCACGGAAAGTGACGATGACTTTGAAGATCAGTCGGCATATACACATCTCCCGAAACGTGGGTGCGTGAGAGTTATCATTTTCACAAGTGAACGTGATCGCAGCAACGCATTTGTGAATGTACACTGGCGAGTCACATTGTCAAATCAATGACAGAAAATTAGTAGTCACAGACATCCTTGCACAGGAGTCACGTACAAATTGATCAAGGATTCATAAGATGCATGGGGCCAATGTGATAGTGATAACAATGGGTGATGTGTGAGGGAAACTGGGTGGCACTACCTTGGACTTCACTTCAATTTCTGCCCGAATTCTTAAATAACTGCTTAAGAGTTGGCAGGTTCAGGAGAATCCACTTTTCATAACTGATCAATTAATGCAATGTGAAAAATTACTATGTTTGGCTGATTTTTCTATTACTCTAGGGACGTTTAAGCATTCGGGCCAGCAACTAGACCACCCTCCAGTGTGTATACCGATACCAGCCTATCACGATTCACCATTACCACTGTCGTCGCCATCATCAATATCTGAAAACAAAAATTAACGAGATAATGACTAAAAAAGAATTTGGTAAAATCCATATTAATTAATGAAAAATCCATATTAATTATGTTACCTTTCTCAGGGAGCTACTAAATGGTACCTCAAATTTTAACCAAATTATTGTAACGAATGATCTTTAACTTCATAATTTAGTATAAACCTGTTAAAATGTAATGTGCTATTTTTGTGTGGAAGATTCACAAGTTAACTTATTCAACAAGCCGTTAAAAATGTATAAAATATATAAAGCCAAAGTTTGCAATTTTTATACTCACCATTATCTGAGAGCTCTTCATCGTCGTCGTCATCTTCATCATCAATGTCATAATCATCATCATAGAAATCATACATATCTACAGGCTCGGTATCTGGCTTAACTTTGGTCTTGATACAATAATCTTCTTGCGTAAGTGGAACTACCACGCCATCACGTTCAGCTTCACTACGAGATGACATCACTTGTTTCCTGGAAAATTCAAAACAAAAGTTACTGCATGTGAAGAAGTTCCACCATGAATTTACATAGAGCACACGAAGAAGTACAGTTGGTTTTACCAAGGACTTACATGATCAGTTAAAACATTTTATAGAAAAACCTACTGACAACAATAAAACAATTATGCTGAAATGTTAATTGATTTAGGTATTAAATTTCAAATGTGATATAAACAATGAATATTAAACCTTGATAACATCAGTGAATTTTCTTGTTTTGAGGAGCTGTTCACGTGAGACAGTTAAGCAAGTCCCAACTGTGTCTGGGTACAAGTGACAGGATAAACACCCCAGTGGGTTTTCTTCCTATTGGGGAGTGCTGTACATGCTGCTTTGGTGGTATGTCCACTCACAGGATGAGTGGCGCTGCCCAATAAACTCGCCCCCTTGGGGCAAAATTTAAAAATTTATCAGTGAGTAGCCTTGGAAGGCACTTTCATTAGCTTCCCAAGCTAAGGGCCAATTGAGCCATGCCTTAGGAAGAAGCACTGTACCTTGGGACCCACCATTGCCTATCAGAAGGCAGGAGCAAATCTGGCTTGCTCTATGAGATGAAGGAAGCTTAGGGATCAGCGATTAATCCAAAACCATGAAAAAAACACCAAAAAGCATATGGACAATAAAACAAACAACTACTTGGAAGACATTAGACATCTGAAAGTAAGAAATTAAATGATCATTGCTGCAATGTAAACACCAACCTCATTGTGACCAGACCAACATACAATCTCCACCCTCTGGAATACACGATGGTACAGACACCGATTCTGATAGTACAGTACACCGATACCGAGTCTGCCAATGAAGTCAACAGACATCCTGTTTTCATACCAAGCTAAATACATACTTGCAGTTCTCAGTAAATAGTCGCAGTATGCTCAAATGTTTGATAAAATAGTATTCCGTTTCTTAATTATATTACGAAGAAAACAAACTTGGAACAGGAGGCGGCCAGGCCGAGACTTACCATAGATGTTTAGGGAACACCTACAGCCAAAAAAAAAAACACAACATCCACAAGTGCACTTCAACTAAGGTTGTACAATTCATCCTTTCTTCTGTCTAATCTTAAACACTAAATGATTTATCTTTTTATTAAACAAAATGCCAGACTATTACAACCTTCCATTCTAGTTATCAATGCTGTACCGTAACATATGCACAGAACATCATTCTACTCCACATTTATTATCATTCTTAATTTTCTATTACTGTAACTACAATATCCTTTGTAGTAACAAGAACAAGAAAGGTCTGTATAGCAACACACTGATTTCATCATGCCTAATCAACATGTTTTATCGTGAACATTTTGCTCGATCATCAACCAGGATGGCTTTTCAGGACACTGGTTTCTGGAAATACTGTATCTCAAAAATAGACTCAACGTATGTACTATTTTAGGGTGCAAGGTGACTTGACACTGAATGACATTTCAGAAAAATATATTTGACAATAACTACCTGATAATATTTTCATATTCTTTATCCTTGCCCTTCGAATCCCTCCAGCGGCGGTACATAACGGAAGCATCCACATTGGCCGGAGAATAAGTATTAGGTTCATTCAGCAGTGAAATTACAGATAGCAACACTGTGCGCACATTCTGGAAAAGAAAATATTAACAGAACACACAACAAAGAATGTAAATGAAGTCACATACTGTATGTTGATCTCTTAAGGCTGAGAAATTAGCTATAACCTTACACTGTTGCAACCCCATATCTGCACTTTCCTCATATTCTGCAATCACCATCTGTATTTGATTTCTTAACTATTTTTAGTCACAAACACCTCGATATAATATTTCAAATTTCTGTGCAGTTCAGGGGTTAAACAAGTAGAGGATTGTGCAGATTGTGATCAGCATTGGAAAAGGGACTACTCCACCAGGGATTTTCAATTTCGGTTAAGTTCCTTATTGTTTCCGGTTAGGTAATGTTTAAGTGTTAGGCCAAGACACCATTAACAGTCAGTGATTACTGAAGTGAATAATCCCTGTTTATAAGTAGTTTATTAAAATATCAAAAGGTAATTCTTAATTTAAATGGATGCTGGTTGTGCCCATGAGTACAGTATTTACCTTTACTTTGTGTGTATAATACCCAAGGCTGAGTATTAAGTTCATAATGCACATTCCTCTAGACTGGAGCGGTAACTTCACCAGCACCTTAAAAATTATATTATATTATTTTAGTTTTATGGTGTTAATTTTTGGTAATACAGTAGCTTTAGATTATACTTGTTGATAAGTACTGGACAGTACCAGTCTTTCCTTCCTCCTTAACTTGTATTATTCTATACATTTAAATCTGAGGGTACTGGTAGTATGGTCGGGTTTGTTCTCGACTCACAATCGAGAATTCCAGGTTCAAATTCCGGGCAAGACAGAAATGGTTGGGCACATTTCTTATCACCTAATGCCTCTGTTCACCTAACAGTAAATAGGCACCCAAGAGTTAGTCAGCTTGTAGTGGAGTTGCATCCTGGGAAGGGGGGGGGGGAAGGGTTTAAGAGACCTCGATACAGTATAAGCCAAACATCTACAGTATATACACACTGGCTGCCTGTCTCCTGACAATTAAATTATTAAATCAATACATTTTCCTGAGCCTAGGCTGAAGTGGGGAAACAGGGTAACACATTGTGGAGGGGGTAAGCGAGTGTTAACAATAGGCCGTAACATAACGGTGAAATGTCAATTATTGAAAACAAGACTGGGTTGAGGGCAACTGCTGCGACTATTGACATTATCATCGCACACACTATCATAAACTGACACCTTAAGAGTTTTATTTTCTTGTTATACAGTATATTAAAGTTACAATAATGTTCACTGTACTTTGGTCAACTGGGATTATTTAATCTGGAAATAAATTTCCATTCAAACTTTTCTTTTCAAACAATGAGGAAAATTATTTGGATGGGTGTTGGCAATTGTTATTGTACTGGGTGGTGATTACACACACTATCATGTTTTTTTCCACTGTATTTCAAAATTACCTCAATCTCAATTATATAGTTTTCTGTCTTGTGATACACTTAAAAACATTAAATAAGAAAGTCAATTATATCTTATATAATATTTATATTTAATGTTTCATGCAGAGCATATCTATGGGCACTAGTGTCTCAACCCCTCCTCTTCTCGTGGCTTATTTCTCGGTTATCTTGAGATGATTAAGCTTAGTGTCCCCGTGGCCCGGTCCTCGACCAGGCCTCCACCCCCAGGAAGAAGCCCGTGACAGCTGACTAACTCCCAGGTACCTATTTACTGCTAGGTAACAGGGGTATCAGGGTGAAAGAAATTGTTTCTCGCCGGCGCCTGGGATCGAAGCCGGGACCACAGGATCACGCGTCCAGTATTCTGTCCGCTTAGCCACCGGCTTCGGTTAGGGTGATCTAGCAACCAGTTCTTAGTGTGTGAGTGAACCAGGTTTTGGTCTCAGGTAGGCTGTTAGTGACTTGCAAGGACCTTGTGTGATATGATGCATGGAGCTATCCAGTCATAGCTAGCAACAGGGAACTCACCAAGTCAGCCCTCCTAGAAGAGTTTTTCTTTACCATTAAAAACTTTACAAATTGAATGCTAAATATTGAAATAACACTAGCTGTTCTGATTATAAATGAAATAAAATAAACAATTAAGCTCCAAAAAGTCAACTCTCAGAAAATGTGTGCAAATATAAATATAGTACAGGACTGCAGTCTACATACAGTACCATGTGCAACTAAAGGCATAATATTATAAGGAAGATGAATTTTTACCTGTGTAGGATTCCAGCGCTCGCAAGGAAGTTCCCCACTCTGAGGGTCATCAACTGGAGGATGGAGGATAGAGATACACAAGTCACCATTCTCGTAAACATTTGGATGCCAGACCTTAGTCAGGAATCGGACGGAAGGTGGTGAGTAGGGATAGTCAGGCGGGAATTTCACATGTGCCTGAAAAAGACATTAAACATTAGTGAAATGAGAAAACTTGGCTGAAAAAGTAACAGAAGAGAACATGTACTTAAAACACTATTGTGAAAGTGTACTGCACTATGTAGTACATCCTACAGGTCTTAAAGGGGCTGGTCCCAAACCTGCACACAGAAATAACACCACAGATCAGAAGGCATGGCAGGATGTGCAGAATACCCACATTGAAAAGCAGAGGTGCAACAGGTACTCTGAGAGATACCTCTATCAACATCAGAGGCCTGAGACTGTTCAACACGCTTCCACTACACATAAGGGACATAACTGGCTGACCCCTCACAGTTTTCAGGAGAGAGAACTTGATATGCCCCTCCTGATCAACCAGGCTGTGATATATACGTTAGGCTGGAAGCAGCTGCGTCCAACAGCCTGGTTGACCAGACCAACCAGGAGGCCTGGTCAGAGACCGGGCCGAGGGGACCTTAACCCCCAGAAATCAACGTAAGGTAAGGTTAGGTAAGGTAACCCCTGCTTCAAAATCTACACACGACTTCCTATAGCCGTTACCGTCTTGTGATAAAGAGGCGAGACCCACCGCCACCCGCCAAGATCTGGGAGAACATGTCGAGACCTGTGAGAGATAATTCTCCTGTGAGGAGAATGATCTAGACAAGAGGACCACGCAACCGGCGGTGATGCTGATAACCCCCCCCCACACACACACACACACACACACCACACACCCCCCACACCACACACACACACACACACACACACACACACACACACACACACAGTGGACCTTGCTGCGTGACTCCTCCACTAACTACCACCAAAGGGAAGTTTCCCCACATTCCCTAAACTTTCACTTCTCTCTTCCAACCCTTTATCACCTTTTCTGGGCTTCAATTTTCCATTCCAATATTTTTCGTCAGTATTAGTGGACGACGGGCAGCAACTCGCAATCTACCCCCCCCCCCCCAATCAATTTTGGGAAGTAGAAATAGCCTAAGCTACTCTATCCCTTTGAGATGTATTTCTTTGTCTCAATAAACATACTTGAATTTGAACTCAGCCAGTAAATCACTGGAACAAGACCTTCTACATGAGGAATTATACTGGTATCCTCATCTAGGTACACTTGAACCGCCCCAAACAGTACTTTTATCAGGAGCTATAAATAATCTTATGTATACTCATTAACCACCCCTGGCTCCACACACCCCCCCCCCTACCACACCCTGTTTTACGTATGGCAGGGTTAACACCAGTAGCTAGAGCCTTCTCCAAAAGGTGTTTTAGGGCGACTACAACATACATACTGGACATACTGGAAAATAACAACATACTGGAACGAAAGATACGGAAGAAAATGCAGAATAGAACCAGTGAAGAGTAGAAGTGCTACAGACACAATCAGAGAACACTGGCCCAACGCCCTCCAAGCAAGGATTACAAATACTGTACTGCGGTAACAAAGGTGGATGTCTTCAAGATGCACTTGGACAAGTTCTTGCAAGAAGTGCCGGAACCAACGGGCCGTAGTGGATATGTGGGCCTGCAGGCCCCGTCCAAACAACGGCATGTTGCAGGCGAGGAGTCACAATAACGTTGCTGAAGAATGTTGACCAATCCACACACTAGAAAATGAAGGGACGACGACGTTTCGGTCCGTCCTGGACCATTCTCAAGTCGATTGTGAGAATGGGAGGGGCCGACAATCTACTTGAGAATGGTCCAGGACGGACCGAAACGTCGTCGTCCTTTCATTTTCTAGTGTGTGGATTAGTCAACAGCCTATTGGAGCAAGTCATCGGAAGTCGAGCCTGGCCCCTAGCCGGGCTCGGCGAGTAGAATAACTCCCAGAACCCCATCAAGGTATGATCAAGGCAGTAAGCTAGCAACCCCCACTCCCCCAAACACCCTGGCTACCACCCCTACACCCAGCATCTAGACACATCTGCACATGTTACAATACACATGAGGAACCTTACAGCCACAGCTCCCTGACAACAGGAGAGCAAACTTAACTCAGCTGCCACACACATTGTGTCAGCAAGGTGGACAGCCCGCCTGCTATCATAACTCGTACCATATGTCCCATATCTAAACATTGCCTTCACCTGCACCTCTCCATTTCCCCTCCCCCAACACACACAAAAAGGTGGGAGGGAGTGAGGTGAGGGTGTTGCCACACCCGCCAGCCACACCATTAACAACAGCTGACTGCCTCAGCACACCGGAGTCCGCCCCACGTAATGCAACTTTACCATGAATTGCTCTTACCCAATGTCAGCAAGAACCAGCCAAGTGTAGTAAACCAGGCACAGATGGTGAGGGGGTGTACTAACCCCCTTCACCACGGTTGTTCAACATCCTCCCTCCCACCATAAGAAATATTGCCCGAACAAACGTGGACGTTTAGAAGACTGGATAGTTTTCTACAAGAAGTGCTGGATCAACCAGGCTGTGGTGGGTATATGGGTCTGCTGACCCCTTCAAGCAACAGTCTGTTGGACCAAGCTCTCAGGTCGAGCCTGGCTCCAATGGTAGTAGTAGTACTCGCTTGGGGAGTAGAGGAACTCTCAGAACCGCATCAAGGTACATGATATGATCAAGGTACTGGGGTTATCTTGAGATGATTTCGGGGCTTTTAGTGTCCCCGCGGCCCGGTCCTCGACCAGGCCTCCACCCCCAGGAAGCAGCCCGTGACAGCTGACTAACACCCAGGTACCTATTTTACTGCTAGGTAACAGGGACATAGGGTGAAAGAAACTCTGCCAATTGTTTCTCGCCGGCGTCCGGGATCGAACCCAGGACCACAGGATCACAAGTGCAGCGTGCTGTCTGCTCGGCCGACCGGCTCGACCGACCGACTTGTGCTGCGGGGAGCAAGAGTTACTTTGAGGTTACCTTGAGATAGTTTCGGGGCTTAGCGTCCCCGATTAGGATACCTGATCCACCAGGCTGTGATTCATACGTCAGGCTGCGAGCAGCCGCGTTCAATAGCCTGGTTGACCAGTCCATCAACGAAGGGGCCTGGTCGAGGACCGGACCGCGGGGCCATTGATCCCCGGTGTACTGCAACTTGTTACATCTGCCTCGTTTAGAAGGCGTTATAAGGTGGACTTCTATTATTGTACTTATGATACACAGTTTTCATTTGTTTTCCTTTTTGGCAGGTGGTGTAAGCTGGCCTTCATGATGATTTATGATCTATTGCATGTTAAACAATCACACAATCTGCAACAAACAAACATGTAATTTCAACATATATTTTCAATCAAACAAATACTAACAAGTACACCATCACCAGTGTATTATTAGTGTAAATAAAGTTCTCAACAATTTTGGTCATCTGCAATTTACAGTAAGCAGCAGCCGTTCCTGAGGTAATGCTTACTTCCCTATACTTGTCAAACTGGCCCTGGCAGCCACCCTGGCAGCCACCCTGGCAGCCACCCTGGCAGCCACCCTGGCAGCCACCTTGGTCAAAATCTGGCCATACCAGCGCGTATCATCCCCCCCCCCCAAGCATCAAGTTGTGAGAGAACAGTTGTCTACACTTCCTTGTAATGGTCACCTCAGTGGCCTCTATATATATAATCTCCACCACACCTTCACTTAACCTAATTACGTGACGTTTGACGTTTGTGTAGTACGGGGGGTGTAAGGGGACCAGGGTGTACTGGGGGTGTAGGGGGCCGGGGTGTAGAGGGCCGGGGTGTAGGGGGCCGGGGTGTTGGGGGCCGGGGTGTAGAGGGCCAGGGTGTACTGGGGGTGTAAGGGGCCATGACGAGCATCTTGGCAGGCTATGGAGGCGGAGGAGGGCGGTGATAGTGAGGGTGGAGGGCCTCACCAACACGCCTCAAGAGAGAGTACATCCCCCCTGCTCTCTCTCACACACAGAGGGAAAGTACTGAGGTGTAGTTGGCAGTCATTATGTGCCACCACACGCCGTCAAGCGTCACTCCCTACACTATCTCCTCGTCAAGTGGCGTAGCAGTGTTGCATCACTATCATCACGCCAGCGTCAACCTTCCACCAACACATCAAAGCTGTCATTGTTGCCAAGTTACAATTCCAACATTTTCCTGGTGCATAACAAGAGGCTCAAGAGACCATGTTTGACTGAGGGACATCTGCTAGGCCTACGAACACAATGGCCTACCAGTCCAGCAACCAGGAGGTCTGGTCGATAACCGGGCCGCGGGTCGCTAAGCCCCGAAATCACCTCAAGGTAACCTCAAAGTAGGTACGTTGAGAGAGAACTCTACGAGCATCAATGGGCCAAGTCTTTTTCCACAATCTCCCGCTACACATGTCCTTGACATGATACATCTTAGATGTACCGGCACCTTCTTAACTCTCTCCTTGGGGTAATTTTAGTTGTGGAAGTTGTACGCGGTAACTAATCAGCCTTCAGGTTTAAGGTAGAGTTTGAGCACGAGGGCTGAGAGGGGTGGGGGGGGGGGGGCGAGGGTGTCTGCAGTACACCATGGGAGAGGTGTGAGGGGGGGGGAGAGGAGGGAGGGGTGAGGGGGGATGAGGACCCTCTACACCACCAGTTTTCAAACTATGGGTCCCGACCCATTAATGGGGCGCACAAACAAAACACAAGCAGGTGAGTGGCACTCATCACTAGTTATGAGGGTGACGGCACGCTTGTTGCTCAAGGGCTGCGTCTTGCACTCAATCACTTCTTCATTTACACTCAAGAATGATTGAGCCATTATATTTAATCATTATTTTAGCTTAAGGCTAAAAGCAGAATTTCCAATCTTAAGTACAAAGTCTATCATGATACTATTACCTTTAACAGCTTCTTGTGTGAACTAGCATCTTCAACATTAACTTAATTACAAACAAGAGATAAGAGACCAGCTCCACACAGATACGCGTTTAGCATCGTCTTCCTATGTTCCAAACTGACATACGGGCTCACCATAGCCCGTGCTACTTGGAACCTGTTCCTAGTAGCTGAATCTATAACAAAAACAACAGTTTGTGTGATGTGTTAC